CTGGTGGCGACTTTTTGTTTTAGTTTGTAGAATTTTCTACATGGAGGATCATGTCATCTGTAAACAGTTTCTTTTTCCCCAAAAGAAATTTTCTTTACTTTTTTTCTCCCATGATTGCACTTGTTAGAGGGTCCACAGCAATGTGGAGTGTGTTGTAAATAGATACTGTCTTGTTTCTGACCTTAGGGAAAACCATTCATGTTTTCACCTTTAACTGTGATGTTATCAGTTATCAAACTGAGAATGTTCCCTCTGTTTCCAGGTTTATTGGGAGATTTTATCTTGATTGTTACAGTTGTCAAATGGCTTTCTTTGTTGAGCAAATGATGTGGGTTTGTCCTTCGTTAATGTGGTTTATTACTTATTACTTTAACTAATTGAGAATAGGTCACTGATGCTTTTGTTGAATTTTGTCTTCCCTCTCAATTCTCTCTTTCTTCTTCATTTTGGTTTTGGCTGTTGGTTGCTTATATATTCATAATAATTATTCTTCCTGAAAAACTAACATCCATAATTCTAAACCATTTTCCTTTTCTTCTATAATTTTTTTATCTATTTTGTGAACTACGCCACTACTTTATATGTAGATTATGGTTTCTGTTTTCAGGGTACAATTTGAAACTACTTGTTTCTTTGAATCTAAAACGTGTGTCTTATAGATCACATATATGGAGTCTTTTAAAAAATCTAGTCTGACAGCACTTTCCTCTAGTTAATATGTTCAATCCACGTAGTTTTTTCAAATGATTGTGTTTATGCCAGCTATTTTGCTGTAGGGCTTTTTAGGGGTGTGTGTGTGTGTGTGTGTGTGTGTGTGTGTGTGTGTGTGTGACAGGTCTTTACCATTTCTCTGTCTATTTTTTTACTGCTTTCTTTGAGTTAAATATATATTTTCTACTGTACCATTTTCATTACTTTGTGTGTTTTATTTGCCACCTTTTTCCTAATGACAACTCTAGGCATTTGATACATATTTAATTTGAAATAATCTACTTCAAATTAATACTAATTAAACAAATTGTGTAATGCAACTTTGCTCCAATGTTGCTCTATTATCTGTTTCCTTTATTATAATATTGCCATGTATATCTTCATATATATTTAGCAGTAAAGTTTTGTGTTTGGTTTTATGCAATTATTTTTTAATCTAAACAAAAGAGGAAAAATATATATTTAAACTTTCTTTTTAAAATTTACCCATAAAATTTCCTTTATTGGGGCTCTTTATTTCTCTATGTGGACCCTAGTTACTCTCTGATGTCATTTTTCTCTCAGCCTGAAGGACTTCTTAATATTTCTCAGAAGACAAGCCTCCAACTCTTTGCTGGCAGACTTGTTTTGGACTAGATAACACAGTTAAAGTTCAGGCCATTCATGGCTCATCTTTTTTTAAATAATTTTATTGAGAAACAAAAAAGTCTCAAAACCGGTCAGTAGGACAGTTTCAATAATTAATACATTGCATATTGTTGTCTTCGTGGCTATTCATTATACAAGACACAGACATGATATCCTGTTCTCAAACACTATTAGAACAAATCTTTCTATTCATTGAATTAAGAGAAAGTAGCTATATATCTATCCTAACTATTTTGAATATACAGATATAAAATGGTTGTTCATTTGTATCCCCTTTTTTGGTTTAGTTTTGTCAAAGAAGGGTATCCCAGTATCATAGCTCATCTTGATCTTACTTTCTGTTTGCCTGCAGTCTCATTTCAATGAGAAATAAATAAATGGTAAGCAAGAATGTGACCTTTCATGTGGCCTACTCTACTCTTTCAGAACTTTTTTGTCATGCAGCTTGTTTAGGGAGATGGAAATATTCTTAGAATGAAATAGCACAGATTCACAATATTCTCCCTCTGATTCTTCAAGGGTTTTTTGGGAAGTAAACACTTCATGATTTGTTATATGCTCTTGGTCAATTTCCACAGTCCTGAAATAGTTTACTTTGTCCAGTTGTATCCTAGTTGTACATGAGGGAGGCTTTCACCCACAACTCTTTTGGAATCCCACCCACAATGTTACAATTCTTAATTCTTCCAGCCACAAGTTTCTTAAAAAAAAAAGAATGACTAATAAAAATTAATTCAACAGGTGGCAAAGCTGTAGTAGTCACAGTATTTGTATTACACAAGAGCTGGGAAATGGAGGAGGAAAAATAATTTGAGAGTAGATTTTCCTGTCTCATCTTTTTTGAGAAACCAACAGGTACATGCTGTGTATAAATGGAAACCACAAGGAGAGGTGGCCTTCTGGGAGAGAAAATTAGATTAGAAGAATCAGGAAAGAGAAGGGAGAGCACTAAAAAAGTAAACTTAAAATCTTTTGTGCTTTCTCATCATCCTTTGAGAACTGTCCAATACAGGAATGAACAGTGTGATCAATTAAAGAGTGGAAGAAAACCTGATTAAAGAAAAGATACTGTTATCTACCCTCTGCATTTAATATTAGGAAGGGAGCGATATCTAAACAAGTACTTCATGATCATGGTATAGTAAATATTGGGAATCATCTAAGATTTCACCAGAGCTTGGCAAAAGAATTCATTGCCAAAGACTGAAAGACATAGTGGGACAGCAGGCATAGGCAGTGGAAATAGCTGGGGCAAGACAGCTGCCAATTGCTCTCAGCTCTGAATTGAGGTGTCACCTTGTCCATGTTGCTGTCCTCTTGCCTTTGCTCTCTGAGGTTCTAGATCAGGATGAGAGCACTGTAAGGCCATGCAGAGGACACGTCCATTTTTGTCACTGTCCTTATTGCCACACATGGGGTTCATACTCTTTCTTAAAGGAACAACACATTTGCTTCAGTCCGGAGGAGGACCATCACTGATGCTTCTCTAAGTACAAAATGAAGTGACCCGGCACTGAGAACCCACAAAACAAAAATTTGACCCTAAAGGACTCTGCTAATAATGGAGTGAGACATGAGAGTTGAACATAAGGGGGCCAAAAGCAATCAAAATATATAGTTAATGTCAGTAACAGGACTAAAATCTTAAGATTCCATGTCCCATCATGCTACAAAAATGCCTATAACCCTGCTGTTTTCATTGTTTCCTCTGACATAAAATATTGTTCTTAACAAGCCTTGGCATCTTTGGTAAATCCAGTGCTTAGAAAACAAATCAGCCCTAGAGTTGGCTAAAATCTTGAGGGAAATGTATCCTGCCTTTGCTGACTTCAGCAGTGGGAAGCAGAACCGGATTGAGCTCCATCTCCTGTTGTTCTGGCACTCTCCCCGACTCACTGTGCCACAGTAATACCCCAGGCAGTCATTTGCAGACACTTCACCAAGAACCTGCCACCTGCCGGGTCCCCTCAGGAGCTGTGCAAGCGCTGAGGAGAGGCATCTCCCAGGCTGGAATGAGCCAGCAGGTCACTGGTATTTCAGCCTCTCCTGTAAGGCATTGGTTTCTTTACACAAATTTGAAACATCATCTTACCCTCTAGGTTTTAGGCCTAGAAACAATCCTTTCTTAGCATGTGTCCAGATTAATATCTAACAGAAGTTAGCTGGTCAAATGCACATAAATGCAAAGGGAAACTAATTAGAAATTGGGCAGCCAGAAGAAGCTCTGATATTATTTGCATATTCAGCCAACTCTCAGTCACTGGAGGCCTAATAATCTGATTCCTCAAGCACTGGGTCCCTTTCTACTTCCTCTTCCTAGCCTTTGCCCTCATATGAACCTCATACCCCTCAGGGAACTGAAAAATAAAAGCTCATTTTGTTATGGAGGTCTCTTTGTATTGAAATAACTTAATTATAAGATACTTCTGGAAGATTAAAAAACAGACAGGAGGCCAAGGAGATGGCTCAGTAGAATAAGCATTTACTGGCAAGCACAGGGGCCTAAGTTCAATCCTTGGTTCTGAAAAAAAAAAAAAAAAAAGACAGACATACACATAAGGGACAAGAGCAACATGAGAGTGGGGAGAAGAGTAGGTTAAATGGAGTGGGAGGACTCAGAAGCAGAGACAAGGAGGATGCTGAGGGATGAGGGACACTAAGAAAGGGGAAGTCTGCGGGGGAAGGGAGTGCTGGGAGAGGAAGGTAAGAAAGAAAAGCAGATACGGCCTGCAAAGGAGACATGCATACATGCAGTGAGGAAAGCAGGCATGTACAGGCGCACATGAGAATGTGAAGAGAAAATACATGTAGAGTTGTCATGCATGGACACAGAAGATACAGATATAAAAAGAAAAACAGTGATAGAAATCCTTCCAGCTTTATGTTTCTATTCCAAGAGGAAGCTGCCAATTTTTTAAAGAAATACCGGTTAAGGGCCGGCCAAATAGCTCAGCAGAGTAAAGCACCTGCAAGCAGGTGCAGGGCCCAGGGATTTGATCCCCAGGCCTGCTGTGCCGGCCCGCCCCCAGGATGTGCTGAGATGGCAATTGAGACTGGACGTGGTGGTTTGTGTAATCCAGCTCTTGGGAGGCTGTAAACAGGCGGATCACTAGGAGTCTGATCTAGTAGTGAGACCCTAAACATCCTGTAGACCTTCCCTAAAATACAAAAAAAAAAAAAAAAAGAAAGAAAGAAAGAAAGAAAGAAAAAAGAAATACCAGTTAATAAGTTTATTTTAAGGTATTTTAAAAGAGAAAGTATAGCAAACAACCAGGGGTATGTGGAAGAGAAGCACGTGGAAGTCACAGTCTTAATCATCCCCTATTTGCATTACATAAAATTCATCACTACACATTTAGTCAAGAGCTGCTTGATGCTGAGTGCTGAAGTACTGCACCCAATTTAAAAGGATAAAGTCTAAGTTGCTTGAAAAGAAATATGCTAACAGGCAGCATTTCCCTTTGTTGATGAAATGGCTTTAAGGGTGAATATTCTCTTCCGTTGTTGGTTGGCACACATCATTTTGCAGTTGCTGTTGTAGGAACTGTTCTCTGGGAGCAGCTCACTGTGCCCAGAATGGGGCCTTTAGGAACCAGACCTGTCAGGCCCTTGCCTGAGTCCTGTCATCTTATTGTGTTTAGCGGAAACAACCGCACAGCTGCCCCCATCACCCTGCCAATAGAAGAGGTCCTGCAGACCTTACAGGACTTGATTGCCTACTTCCAGCCTCCAGAGGAGGAGATGAAGCATGAAGACAAGCAGAACAAGCTCCGCTCCCTCAAAAACAGACAGAATCTTTTCAAGGAAGAGGTAAGTTCAAAAATGCAAAAGTAAAAGTCTCTGTGCTCCTGGAACAGAAATCTCCCAGTGAGTACTCTGCAGCTCAACTTTGTCTCCACATGTACACACATTTATGAATAGCATGCAGAGAAAGGAGGTGGGAAAGCTGTAGAGGAAAGAACTGGGAGCTGATCTGCCCTTTCAACCATGCCTGGTTACATTAATGCTGGTTGGCGCATTCCAACCAGTTAAGTTTTAACTTTCAATACCACACATGTACCCAAAAATCTATTTTCAGTAAATCTCTGTTGTTACTGTGTGGCATGGTAGCAAGCCCAAATTTTGAATAATATCAGAATTACCTAGGAAACCTGTTTGGAAAAATGCAATTGTCTAGAGTCTACTCCATCAGAAATGTCTGGAAGACTGGTTCAAAAGGTACACATGTTCCATCGTCTGACAAGCTCAAGTTAGAATTTGAGCTTTGGAGTCAGAGAGGACCTGACCAAGGTGGAAACATTATTTGGGTGCTTATGAGACCCAGGCCCTCATTCTGGCCCTCTTTCTGGCTGTGTGCGTCTTTCGACAAGTCACAAGCCTTCTCCAAACATGGACGGAATGATCTGGTGGTAACAGGCTGTGGCTGGCTTCCATACCCTGGAGAGAGGGCTGGTCCTCTAGTCATTTCGAAAGTCAGTGGTGTGGGGCTCAGAGCCATCCCTGCTCGGTTTTCCGATTTCAGCAGAGGTGGACTTACAGATATTCTCTGTACCTTGTAGGCTACTGATTCTGTATTTACCATCTCCCTGCTGTTCTCTAAGAGTTGCTAGCCACAGATGGTTTTGCTGAGTGGCAGAGTACTATAATTCAGGCAGAAAAGTAGTTGAAAATGCTCTTTGGTTTTATTGTCTCTAGATCCCATCTTTTGGTGGAGAAAGATGGAAGGAGGGAGCAAGTATAGTTATTTTATGCATCTGAATGGAATTTCTTGAGCTTATTTGAGACGTAAGAGAAAAATAGGTACTACATCTAGAGCTGTCTGAGTGAGTCAGAAACACTTCCCAGCAGACGCAAACAAGCTTTGGTGAGATGCATTCATGCTTCCTCCTCTTCAATACATCCTCAGAGTGAACTAAGCAGAGTACGCAGGAGCAACAATCAGAGACTGCTGACTCACTATGTGAATGGATACTATTTAGGTCTCTGAGGCATAAAAATGCATATTTTGTTTCTAGGAGAAAAAAAAATAACTCAACTGGCCCTGTGAAGGACTATTTGCATGTAAGCACAATCAGCTTTAGGAAGAGACTAACAGGGAAGGGAGAAGAGCAAAAGTGGGAGATACATTCTTCTCCAAGAATGTTTACTTTTTCCTCCACTCTCCTTCTCAGGGCATGTTGGCTCTTGTGTTAAACTGCATTGATCGCTTAAATATCTACAATAGCGTGGCCCACTTTGCAGGGATTGCCAGGGAAGAGAGTGGCATGGCCTGGAAAGAAATTCTGAACCTCCTATACAAGTTGCTGGGTGAGTATGCAGGCAGCGCCTTCCCTGGGGAGGTCCCTGGGATCTTCGGGTGGGCAGAGGAGAGCCCACCATTGCCATTGAGCCACATCCTGGGATGCTTTTTGTTCACCATTTGGTTCTAACACAGACACTTAGTGTTAGCTAGCAGCTTCTTGTACCTTCCAAACTCAGAAGTCAGAAGCACATGGAAGCAGAAGCCAAAACTATCTGTGAAAGCTAGAAAGCCAGCTTCTCTGAACCTCCATTTCTTATGTTTAATATGTGGAAATAAGACTAGATAGAACACATTTATAGTCTTCCAGTTCTCAACCTTGGAATCTGTACTTTGAGGATTGTTACTATTTTAAATTCTATGCCCTTTCACTTGTGTACTTTTTAGTCAATCCTAGCTCCTGCTGCTTTGGCCTGTCATTAATTTCATTTTGGTGGAATGAAAAGGTAGGAACCAAGATGTCCTGGCACCCACCTTTTTTCTTCCCAAACCTGAGTATAAGGTAATGCTGTGGTGCCATCTACAGAGGCTCTATCCCTTAGGCCCAGGCCACTGGCTAGTCAGAGGGATGCAGCAGAAAGATATCAGTAGGGGCAAGAAGATAGCCCCAGGCATTTCTCAGACACCAGCTGGGATAAAAAGATAGCTCTATAGGGCTTGGCTCCGAGTTGTGTGTCCTACTGAGAGAAGTCCTTAGAAATTCTAGTACATCAGGAGAAAGCCCTAAAAAATCAGCCTGGACCTGTTCTCCATGTTGGGGGTCAAATCGATGGGATTATCCCTATACTGTGTGATTCTGTAATGAGTAACTTATGTTGATCCTTGTATGCAGGCTGTGAAATATCTCTTTGAGAGCAATACTTTGAGAGTAGTTACTGTTATTATCTCAGTTTTACTGACAAAGAAGCAGATTACAGAGATGCTCGTAGACCATCCATCTACTAGTGATGGAGGCTCAGTAGCCTGACTAGAATTCTGACACTTATCCTACTTACTTAAGCTACTTACTACTGCCTGAAACACAGCACAAGTGCTCAGGCTGAATGTCATCCTCATGGACTCTTATGATGCAGAGCAGAGGCGCTGGAGGGGGACTTTCCTCATCTAAATTTATCATTTGTCAGCTGTAATGAAATATTAAGCCCAACAAGCCAACCATGTGAAGGCAGCTCACCTGGGGTTGATCCATCTCCATGGACTGTTCCAGGTTGGCATCTACTGTTTTGGCCCTGTGGAGGAAAGGCTACATGGTCTAGATTGGTACTCTAACCACAACACATTCTTCCCTTTCCACACAGTATGAGCAGCCAGTGCTTTCAAGGATGAACAGGCACTGGAATCAGCTGGAGGGCTGGTTAGAGCTCCAGTTTAGTAGCTCTAGTGTAAGTCCTGAGGACTAGAGTTTCTGAAAGGTTCTCAGGTGGTGTGATATTCCTGGTGGAGGGCCCACACTCTGAGAACCACTGTTTTTCAGACACCTTACCATTAGAAGTTGTTAGTTTATTTATGTACTAGCTTAATGGTTTCAGCTGTGTTCACTGAGGTTCTTTCCTTTAGCACTAAAGGTAACAAGCATCTAGCTAGATTTAAGAAAATGTTCTAGGTTTGAGTTACAGTGTCAGTAATCAATGAATTACCAATTCTTGTTTATCATTACCTAAAGTAATTAACTTATGTGTCTATTTTCTCTACCTACTATTTGATGAAGGCAGAGAATCTGCCTTTTTTGCTTCATTGTTGTGTTCCCTGCATTTTACCAAGGGCCTGGTCGTAGCAGATGCTCTGGAAACACTTGCTGAGTTGGTAAATGTTAGAGCTTTACTCTTCTAAATATAGGAATCAAATCATATCAAAGGGCTAACATACTAATATTGGTGTTCCATTCCCTGTATTTGCTAAGCAGGAATGTAATCAACAGCTCCAGGGCTTATGTGCATCGCTATGCCCTTTACCCTACGTGATCCAACCTTTCATTGTTTGCAGCTGCTCTCATTCGTGGAAACAGAAACAATTGTGCTCAATTCTCCAATAACCTTGACTGGCTAATCAGTAAATTGGACAGGCTGGAATCTTCCTCAGGTAAGAATTTACAGAAACTGTTAAGTGGAGAAGTTGAATGTTTTTCTCTCTGAAAAAAATGAAAACAAAGTCAAATCTTCAGTTTTTCCAAGAAAAGGAGTCAGTTCCTAAAACATGCAGACAATCATACACTTTTATATATGGTTTTACTCCAGATTTCTGCAGTCCTTTCTCTTTTGTTTAATTTTTTCAGTTGTACCTTTTTCTTTATTCTATAAAGTAATGGCCCCAAGGCAACCCTTACCTAGTGATCCTTGTCTCCAAAATCCACCAGACTCCTGCTCTCTGGGTTTCTAATCCTCCTTTCAATGCTGTCCTATTTTAGTTAGAAGCATGATTGAAGGATTACCATGAAATGAGATAAAATAAGCTTCCCCACCCCTGGATCTCCCTCCCATCCTGCCTACAGCCCTTCCTGAGGACCCTCTGGGAATGTGAGCCATCCATAAGGACCACATTCAGCTTCTGACAAGATGAGTGTACTGGGCAAGTGCACTCCGCCCTCCATTCCCCAAGCTGAAAGACCTGAAGTTTTCTCATGGTCTGCAGGTATCAAACCGGCGAAGGGAAGGCTCCTGTAAAGAACCACCCACCATGTTCCTAAACCTACTTTTTTCAGCATCTCCTCTTATGAGTTAGATTGCATTTCAGGATAAGTTATGAAAACATGGAGAGAAAACAGAAACAAGAGGAATTTTCTTAATAAAACCGATGAAGCCATTGGCTAGCTCTTTCCTCCTGTGTTTCACTGTGATGTTTCCTTTGTGGGTGTCAGGCCACACGGGCACAAATTAGTCTTCCTTCTGCTTTGACTTAGTACAGAGAACCATGAAGTGCCAGGATAAGGGGGGCAATGCAGTCATTGTTTTTTAAGCTTATTTTCTGTTTGATTTGCTACTGTGCCTAAAATAAAAAGTAAGTTGTGAGGTGGTTCCTAGAAAACTTCTTACTCTGAGAATAAATTGAGAATGTTTTCTAAATTGTTTCAACAAGCTTTAGAATTTATAGTAAAGTATATCTATGTTTTAAAATAGATATTTCACGAAGTATTGTTTGGTTTGACCAGGTTAAGAATTCCATTTTACAGCTATTTTTCTATATTTCAACATAAAAGATCAGAGGGAGATGGGGTTAGTGCTGAATTAAACTCACTTGTAGGTTACAGACTGCATGGCCCATGGGTACTCTGGGAATCTACCCAAGATGGCTGAAGTTCTTCTGGCTGGGAATATTTAAAGATTCAAATAACTGATGATATTCTCTCCCTCAGGATGATCTTTCCACTATCAGATTTCGAGATTACAGTCTGTTCTACAGTTGATCTAATGTCCAAATGATTTTTGTGGCATTCATGTAGGTATCTTAGAGGTTTTGCACTGTATCTTGATTGAAAGCCCAGAAGCCTTAAACCTGATAGCAGAAGGCCACATTAAGTCCATCATCTCTCTGTTGGACAAACATGGACGGAATCACAAGGTGGGTATGGAAAAAACACGAAGAGTGATTGGCTTTACCCATTTTCCTTCTCAAGCACTTAGTCATGTTGTAAGTTCCTGAGAGCCTGCTGACCAGCCCTGAACCTTGGTCAGAACATTGGGAAACTGACTTCTAAACATGCTCCCTTGCCTCTAAGCACCCTCCAAGCCAGCCGGCCACTGGTATTCTCCAGCTTCCTTGACCCTGCTTATCAGCACTGGCTCTTAAGATGCAGCTCACTGTGGGCCCTCAGCTGGGCTTATACACAGCCAGCAGTGCCAGATGCTCCCCACCCTAAAACCTAGAACATGGTATGAAAATCTTCCAACACAGAGCTATATAAATAAGGTATACCTACAGAACTTAGGTTTAAAATAGTAACTTGGCTGGTTACTAACTGAAATCAGATTTAATGAGTCAAACCAAGTTCAGTAATAGAAACTGCCTATATAAACCAAAAAACCAAAAATGTCAATTTCTCTCCTTGATATAAAACAACTGTGTGACTTTGGGCCTCAGTTATTGCATCTGTAAAATGGAAACTTTGTCCCCTCATCAAGGTGGAATGTTATATCAATTTTTGAGGTCCCTTATATTTGCAACACATCTGTTTATACAATTGTACCTCTAAGACACAATGATCTATGGGGAAAGATCCATTAAAATATGGTGAATTCTTCTTAATCCCTCACATGTATGCCATATCTGGTGGCTACCATGCTAAACAATTAGGTGTGGTGCTTGAAGGCTGAGGAAGGCATCCCAGCAGTGATGACGTAATCAGGCACTGGAGAAAGAAGCCGTGCAGACTGCAAGTGCAGCGTGACTCCCGGTTTTCTTTTTTGCCATCATTTGGGGGAACCGAATATTTGAGACACGACTCAGTGAGTCCAGGAGAATGAGTCCCTGCAGCATTCACTGCATGATAGACAACATCCTTGGGAAGCAGAAAACCGGGTTCTCAGTATCTGTGAAATTGCTTGGCAAAGAGCAGCAAGAAATATGTGGGATCTGTAATTGCTTTCCCAAATGCGGTAAATCAAAAGCAGGCATGAGGCTCCACTATTAGTGCGACTTTTCTACATTGCACCATGTTCCCTTCGGTCTGAAAAGTACAGTAAGAATTACTGGCAAGCTCACAAGTAGCACATGGCCCGAGCCATGATGCAAGCCCAGACGTAAGAGGAGGGAAGCGGTTCACATTTGCCTGCCCCAAGGGCTTCTCTATGATGATACCACGAGACTGACTTTATAAGTGACCAGCTTTCTGATGACTTTTCTCAGCCAAAAGCTACACAGATTATGTGGCTGTTGCTTGGGAGTGGGGAGACTTGACCACTCTCTGTGCATCCCACAGTTGAGAAAACTGAGGCATAGAAAGTCAGTGTAATGAGCTAGAAATCACTACCTGATGTGAGGAGTTACCTGCGTATACGAGCAGAGGAGCCTTCCGTCTTCTAAGAGCCGCAGCAGTGCTTGAGAGCTTCTGACAACGTTGGCAGAGTGAGCCGTGTGATCTCCGTACATAAGAATCTCCTTGAGAATATCTCCTTTCCTTCTCTTGATGGGCTTTTGGGCAGAGACTGCTTTGCCATGAATTCTTCAGACCCTCCCGCAGAGATTATCCACTTTGATCACTTCTATTTCTAAAGAGAAACCCAGGCTCAAGCCATCACCAGTGTCTTGGTGGTAACTTTCTGATTAACATCCTAAGTGTAGGCCAAACTTCTATCACAACACGACGTCTGCGATGCTCGGAAGATGGCAGCGAAACGTCTTGCTATTCAGATTGCTGTTTTTCTCTAGTGATGAGTTTTCAGAAGTTTCTGGTCCTTTCACTCATTTTTCCACTGAGACAAGGACTCAAAATATGCAGAATTCTGGAACTATGGAGACCTCAAAAGTCCTCTACAGAACAACAATGATGACAACTAACATTTATTTTGTACTTAACTAATGCCAGGAACCACGCCCAGTGATCATGTGCATCCTTCCTAGCTCGTTATACTCTCTGAAGTAGCACTATTGTCATTTTTACCTGAAAAGGCAGGAAAAATGTCCAGGACCTGGGCCCTGACATGTCAAGCAATTTTCCAGGGGCCACACAGCTCACTAACAACAGTGTAGGATCAAAAGTTTAATGTTCTGCCCAGTGTTTCACAAGCTGAAGTCTATAAAAATATTAATCAGAGTTTAAATGTCCTAAGAGAATATGTTTAACTCTGTGTTTTTATTTTTATAATTATCTCCATACAAAACTCTGCATTGGGAAGTCCAGTTAGAGGGCATTTTCATGATAAGTTACTGTTTCTCAGGCTGAAGTTTAAGAGTCCCTATCATCCATGAATGTAATCTTTAGAGCTAAATAACATTTTTAAAAAGATTTGTACAGTTTGTGCATTTGAGAATCCCTTTCTGTCCTATGCTACCTCTAATCATGTTTAGAATATATATGACTGGCTATTACTGTAACTCCACTTCTTCTCTAAAATACTTAAGTTGCCAGCTCGTCACATCAATGGAAAGCACTGCAGTTCATCGAATGCATGACCACATTTGAGTTCAAAAGGCTAGAGAGAAAGAACCCAGGGCCTAGAGAGAAAGGACAGGCGGCTATTGTGGGCCCCTGGCCCCCACGCCTTCTGAGTGCTCGCTACCCTCTGACCTCACAGTGACTTTCCTTGTGATGATCCTGCAGCACCCCTCACCACTTCTCCAGGTCCCATCACAATCCTTCTCTGGTCAAATAAAAATAAGTTGAAAATTTTATCTGCCCTTCCAGCCTTGGTTTAAATGCCTCTGTCTCTGGGAAGCCTTTTCTGATCCCCGTTGAAATTGGTCTCTACGCTAGCCTTAAATAATGTGCTTTCTGCTTTAATGGTTGTTCCAATCTGCCTTTTATTGTTGGAAGTTTTATATATATGTTTCTCTCACTCATGGAGGTTCTTTCATAGTAAAGACCATTTTTATAATCCTCAGGGTGACAACTCAAATATTTAACAATGCAGGCAATCATATCTGTCTTTCACATGTTTAATAAGTGAATAAAAGGAATGAATGAGCAAAGCCAGAGCCCACTCCATTCTCACCTTGAATTGATGGGCGCTCACATACATATGCAGGCCTCATGCCATAGAACAAATGCCTTACACTGATTTCCTTATTTGATGAAAAAAGCAATTGCTAAAAACTATCGGAATCACCCTATAGTTTTCTGTGGAGTAAAATCTTAATAATAAAAGCAAAATATACCCATCTACTTGCCCCCAAACCTCCCTTACTCCAAATCTGGTCAAAATTTCCACAGATAAGATACATTTTATGGTCTCCTTTGTTCCATAAGGATATGGAGCCACCTGTGAGAAAACTATAGGTAATATAATTGTCGTTGGTCCTCCAGAAAGAATAAATCAGAGTCAGAAGGGTAGCTTGGGTCGAGGGAGGACAGAAAGTAAGCAAACTGAACCTGTTAGGCCCCACGTGGTTGCACTCTATCAGCTGCATAAATCAGTTGAGTCTCCAGGCAGCCACTGCAAGATGGGAAACATTCTCCACCACTCAATTCTCATTCAAGGGGAGAAGGAAGTCTGCCCCCGAGAAGCTGTAAAGCACTCGTGGTTTTCAAATATTGGACTTGATATAAAAATCTGAGATACACTGCTTTTCATAAACAAAAGTTAATGACAAAATGCAACAGCCAAGCAATGTTGCCATTCATACACAATAAGGACTTCTTATCTTTAAAGTGAAATTCCCACCTAGGCCTGCATTTAGGGTGAACACTAGAGAGAGGAAGCAAAATGAAAGCTGCGGAAAGAGATGCAGTATCAGTGATGCGATCAATGACAACTGGAAGCAAATGAGCTCCACCATGGGCATTGATGAGGGAGGCTGGCTCCCTGAGGCAGACGTCCCAGTGTTCTCAGTCACTTAGCACAGAGGTTCATGTTTGCTCTCATCTCAGTCTGAGGCCCGTCAGTGGCAGGACACCACTCATTTTTCTCCTCTATAGATCAATGTCCTCTGCGTACAGGGCTTCGCAGCCTGCAATGTGCTAGGGAATCTAGGGAGCTCAAGTTCGCATTCCCAGGAAGGCTCTAACTTTGGTGAGGACCAGGTCTGGGCATCTGCATTGCTAGCAGTCTCAAAGAGATGCCAGTGCTGTTGGTCTAGAGCGGTGCTGGCGAACCTATGGCACACATGCCACAGTGGGCTGTTAGAATCATGGAAAGCTCTAAGAGGTTTGCCATCACTGATCTAGGGACACCCTTAGGCATGAATTCTTTTTCTTTGTTGTTGCTGCTGTTGTTAATTTAGGAGTACTGGGAATTGAAACCAGGGCTTTTGTACTGAGCTGCATCCCAAGCCTAGATAGATAGATAGATAGATAGATAGATAGATAGATAGATAGATCTATCTTTTGAGACGAGGTCTCACCAAGTCACTAAATTGTCCATGCTGAGCTCAAACTTGCAGTCCTCCTACCTCAGCTTCTCAGAGTTCTGTGATTCAGGCATGTGCTACCACACCCAGAGGAGCGAGCACAAACAACGGACTTTGCGGGATGGTTTCCAAGATGTCATATCCAGCCATCTCCCCTGAACCAGAACTCAGGCCTACATGCCTGCAAGGGAGTCTGGGAAATGCAGCCTCATCTTGAGCTGTGGATGAGAAGGAAGCAGGGCTGCTGAGCATTTAGCAGCACCTTCCCCCCAACCTGGCTTTCCAGAGGCCTAGGAGATGCTTCTGTCAACAAGCATGGATAGCCTCAAGGCACCATGCCTGGGTGACTCTAGTAGTCTACACTCCCTTCTCTTAAAATAAAAATGAGCTCTTCTTCCTGTGAACAGCCTGAGGTGACCTATGAAAATGGTTTGCTACTCTTTCAATTCAGAAAACCCCACAAAATCATGCAAATCAAGAGGCACAAATCTTCACGTTCACTTTAAGAGCATGCATGAAACTGCCCAGGCCGTCAAGGGTATGCATATCTGAAAGGCCACCAAGGATCTGAAGGATGTCACATTACAGAAGCAATGTATGCCATTCTGGCATTACAATGGTGGAGTTGGTAGGTGTGCCCAGGCCAAACAGTGGGGCTGGATACAGGGTCGGTGGCCCAAAAAGAGTGCTGAATTTTTGCCGCACATGCTTAAAAATGCAGAGCGTAATGCTGAGCTTAAGGGTATAGATGTAGATTCTCTGGTTATTGAACATACCCAGGTGAATAAAGCACCCAAGATGCGCATCTGTACTTATAGAGCTCATGGCTGGACTAACCTATACATGAGCTCCCACTGCCTTATTGAAATGATCCTTACTGAAAAGGAACAAACTGTTCCCAAACCAGAGGAGGAAGCTGTACAGAAGAAAAAGATATCCCAGAAGAAACTGAAGAAACAACAACTTATGGCACAGGAATAAATTAAGCATAAAATAAATGTAAATAAAATTAATGTTGTTGGCTATTAGTAAAAAAAATAAAATAAAAATTGCTTACACATTTTCAGAAAAGGAAGTTTGTCCCTGTTTCCCAGTTTTACACTAAGAAATGCCTTCTAAGAACCTAACCAATGCCCCCTGCACTTCTTTTTGGTATCATTTATTTATAGACAAGGCATTGTTATTAAGCTGGTATTTTTCAAAGACCTTTTTTCTATTTCTGCCGTGTGTGGATTAAGCTCCGTACCAGCCAGACTCCTGCCGTCACTCCAAGACAAAACAGATAAAAATCTGTGGTCAGCTGGATGAAAAGTATTTCATTTCCTGGTTATCTGTGGCTCTTTCCTTAGAATGAGAAATTATCATTAGGATGTCAGGCTTCTGCAGTGGCTGTTTTCTGTGGAGTGAGAGTCCTCTGAAAAACTGCCTGTGGAATTCTTTGCCCCTTGTCCCATAAATGTGCTTTGTATTGCTCAGGAACAAAATTGACACTCAGGGAGTCAGGTGGCTAATTGGTTTATGAGAATTAAGGACACAATGCTATGAGCAGCCTGAAGACGTCCAGCCCCACTGAGCATCGAGTCTTCCGTGGCCCCCTTGGGAAGCCTGAACCACAGCCTCACACCTCCCTGTCAATCCGGCTGTAATTTCTCAGCTGCTCCCCACGTGTGCCTACTGTGGGGAAAGCGCAGCACAGCCCTGGCCCAGCCAGGTTTCTCTGTAGTGCTCTGAATGCAAAATCTGAATGGAAGAGTACAAGGTGCGAAGAGACAGCAGGCTGCACAGCAGAGGCGGGGGCTGTTCTTGCTTCCCGGGCAGCTGGAAACAAGAGCAGAAGCAGCTTGACTATGACCGGTCAGACTCATGGCCACCTGGGCCCCTGCAGGGCTGCTTTCCCTCCAGATGGAATGAGGACGGAGGGTGAAATATTTTAACACTAATTGCTAGGAATTTAAGGGTCTCCTAGGGAGTGTCACTGATATCACAGTAAGAGACCCAAGAATGGAAATCTGAGCCACCACCTAGGCTCGGAAGCCTGCTTCGTACAAAGACCTTCACTCAATGGGAGTCTAAGGGACCTCTTTTCTTTAATTGGTACAATTTAGATATACATGCACAGTGATCACGTCCATCGTAGGGAATTTGTACCTGTACATGGTATATGTTGATTCTTCTCTTTTTCTGCTCACTCTCCTACCTTCAACATCTCTTCCCCTCCTTATTTACAAAAGCATTTTCTCCATTTTATCCTTCTCTTCTCATTTTTTTCTTTTCTTTTTCTCCCCCTCCCTAGTTCCCCCTTCCTTTTGAATAATTTCTTCCTATTTCCCAATATTTATTACACATTTTGGTCCTTATATACACTTTCAGTATCTCATACTAGATAAGCAATGTGATATTTCCACATATGTGTCCACTTTATTTCACTTAAGAGTATAGCCTCAAGATGCATCCATGAATCTATAAATGTCTCAAGTTTATCCTTCTATATGGCTAAATAGTACTCCATTATATAAAAAGCCATCATGGATCAAAGATTTAAATATTAAATGACTTTTCATTGAAAGCTGTCTGAGTTCTCAGTGTAACAGAGGGAGAAAGGGCTGAGGAAAACCAGAGCTTCAGTATTAGTCCTCTGGAGGGTCCTTTATGTCTCTTCCTACATTTATATGACTGAGAGTGAGCAGGATCTGAGTTTTGTGCTTTTAATGTCTCACTGCACCCTAGTTGCAACCTTGACAGGACTTCAGGCTTCAGGCCTTTGCCCGCTGTCAGAGCTGTGAGCACAGATGTTGTGCAGTTTGTGAGGGGCAGGACATGAGACCAGGGCGGGGCATCTAGAGAGAAGCTGAGCCTCCTTTCCCTCAAAGGCAGGATGCTCTGGACTGTGCTCACTTATACTGGGTGAGGGGTACCAGGCCCCACCTCTGAGCTGGTCTCCCCTTGTCACCAGCCCCATGCTTCATGGCTGCTGCTTCCTTCCCACATGGCAGCAATGGACCTTGGCCATGGAGTTCACCTAGTGGCCTGACATTTGGTGGCTGTGTCCTATTGCAGGTTCTGGATGTCCTGTGCTCGCTCTGTCTTTGCAATGGGGTTGCAGTGAGAGCCAATCAAAACCTCATCTGTGACAACTTACTGCCCCGGAGAAATCTGCTGCTTCAGACACGGCTCATTAATGACGTGACCAGGTAAGGCTGCCGGTATCAGTGCAAAGGCCCAGCCTGGCTCTGTTTATCTTGTCTCCTGGCAGGAGAAGAGAACTGATCAGAGCTACAGTTTCTCACCCACAGTTCTCGTGGCAGGAAGCATGAAGGAAACAATCAGGCAGATGTGCACGTTTCCTGACCAGGGTCGTGTACTCCACACCTTGATCAGTTCCTCAAAATGTTTCCTTGAAGTAATGAAGATAAAGGATTTGCACTATCTAGGGGCTAAAAAAGTTAGCCCCGAAGTGACTTGCTATGTTTTATTTGAAAAGTAAATGTACATCTTGTAACTTCTTCATAATACTCAGATTTGTTTTGATGGGCAAATATTAAGATTTTTCAATAGAATGGATGTCCCCAGTGGATGCTGGGTTTCCTGTGTCCTCTGACTCATGGCCCGCTGTTTTCTGTGAGGGCCAGGATGAAGACCCTGCCAGATTCCTTTCTTTCTGACTGGTCCCCATGCACTGCCACTTGTGAATCACATAAACTTATGGGCCTGGAGTGGCCTTGGGTTCTTATTCACTTTCCACCTGAACCTGTACCTAATTCACAAGCATGAGGGAAGAACTTCCCTTTGAGGCACAGTGCAGCCTGCAGACGTGAGCAGCCGTGCAGACCTCTCAACACAGCCTGGTCTGTCTTTGTCCCTCCCAAATAACCCACTCCCAGCCCAAGAGGAGCACATCTGTAAGAATATGACTCCAAATAAAACCTCTACAGATTGTTAGGATTTGCTCAACAAAGGACTGACTCACCTTTATTAACTTGGCAGTGAACTGCACACTTTTCATACGTGGTCTGTCCCGAGCTTTTAACCACTTTACCGAGCATATTAAAACCTCTTGCCTTTTACAAGTTGCCTAATAGTGACTTCTTAATGCTTTTAAGATGCCATTAGTATTAATAAGGCTTAAGGAACAAAGCTACTGTTTTGAAAATGAGTGTGCTTAAAACCAATTTGCTGGAAGATGGAACTCAAGCAAGTAATTTCTTTCACTTACAGAGAGACACAAAGGTTTGTGATCATATTACTTTATATAATGCTTTGAGCACTGTCACCCATGGTTGGTGCTCAGTAAATGTGTTCCCTTGAATGGAATGTTTAAAGAAAAATCCTTTGTATTTTATATTGGAATTAAAGTTGTCCTGACACCTCCCACTAAAAATTTGACCAAATATTGAAAGCTGTAAGCTTTTGCTCCTTTTGACCAACAACAAAACCAAAGCATTGCTCTTTCGCGACGTTTAATTGGGTCAGTGCTTCTTTGCGTCTGGTTCGATTTGTGTTTTCAGTCATTGAGATTCTGAAGATTCTACTTCTCCCATTTCTAATTTTCAGTATTCGGCCAAACATCTTCTTGGGAGTTGCTGAGGGCTCAGCCCAGTACAAGAAGTGGTACTTCGAGCTAATTATTGACCAAGTGGACCCCTTCCTAACTGCAGAGCCTACACACCTGCGGGTGGGCTGGGCCTCCTCCTCAGGCTACGCCCCTTACCCAGGAGGTGGAGAAGGATGGGGTGGCAATGGTGTTGGTGATGACCTGTACTCCTACGGCTTTGACGGACTTCACCTCTGGTCAGGTGAGTACCCTGCACAGGTGTCAGCCCTTCCGCTCCTGCTGGATCTCACTTTCTGTAAGCTGAAGTTGCCACTTCCATTTGAAATGACACAGGCTCCTGAGTCTTGGGTAGGAAGAGCATCAGGCCTGTCTGAGACTTGGTGGTGCCTGACGTCAGACACATGGGCCAGTACAGATCACTTAACTTTTCTCACACTGAATGTTAGTACCAATTTGGTTCTTGCCACATAGGATTATTAGGCTTCTATAAAGAAAGGAGAGATTCAGCTTTATTTACTCGGCGATGGACCACATACGCTTTGTGAATTTTCTCCGCATAATGACCCCTTATACTGGCCTTGTGTTGCATAGGTAGAAACAAAGATACAAAGATATCTCAGTTATTTATCCTGAGTTACACTAAGAAGGATCCTGATCTGATTATAAATCCATCATTTTGTCAACACTGCCTGCTGCTTCATGTTGCGGTGGTTAACGTATCTGGATCACTTCAGGCACTGTAGCCAGTGATCTCTTAAAAAGACCTCAAGCTTCCCTTCTAAAGATGAACACTGAGCTTTCCCCAATCATGCCCACTCTCCACCCCTGTGGATGGTTGGGCTCTGCCTTGCTGACAGTAGAGGACTCAGGTTGTCACCAGAACAAGAATCCCACCTCTCCTTTCTGTTGTCCCAAGCATGTCTGCTGTGCTTCTTTGCAAAGCTGCAATTGGAAACATTGCACCCCATGTAGGAATACTCTTATGTAAGCATTAGCTATGTGTCTCTCACATAAAGAACCAGGAACACACTCTTCCCGAGACCAGCATGAAGGAAGAGTTCATCTTTAAAAGACAAATCTATACACTGTATATTCTTTTGTCAGTGGGGACGTTATAACCCATCATGTGTTCCTTTGTTCTTTAACTTTCTGCCTAAAATCTAACTGCCTGATATCAACAATTTAATGTCACCTCCAGGCCTGATGACAAGCTTCTTGCAGTTGGTCGTGGTTTTCAGTTGGTTGATATGGAGGGGTTTGTTTTCACTGTTTTATAATCAGTTTAAAATTTTAAAACTTTAGGGAATATACTGACCTTACTTATTTGTATGTAGTAGTCCCTTGCTATTTCACAGTTTTGAAATTATATTAATCTAAATTATTTACAGGTTTTCAAAAAATATTAATCTAAATTATTTACTGTGAACTTTTTGCTGAATCACAGAATTTTGTGGTTAGTGTACAGTAGTATCTATATTTATATGTGTAGTATATATGGTTTAATGATTTTTGCCTAAAAATTTTTACTTTTTTATTTTTAATTTTTATTTTTATTCTTATTTTTTGGTGGAACCGGGGATTGAACTCAGGCCCTTGCACTTGCCAAGGAAGCGCTTATTTTACTAAGCCATCTCCCTGGCCCCTAAAAAGTTTTAAATATATGAAAATATATGTAAAATGTTAATTCTAACATATTATAAGAATGTTAAATTGAAATAAAATACATTTACAATATGTATTTCTTTAGCAAATGTATAAATACTACACTGTACAGTATACGTATGTTATTAAAATTACATAGGCTTACAAGTTTAGAAAATGGTTAAGAACATTAGAAGCATTTTTAAAAATGTGGAAGAGGGGGCCTGGCCCTAGCTCAGTTCTTTAAGTGGCTGCTTCCACAAAGCTGTCAGCCTCAGGTTGCTGTAGTTCGATCCCCACAACACTCCAGCCAGCCAAAAGTGCACTGAAGGCATTCAAGGAGAAAAAAAAAATCCTTATAGGGCTGGTGAGATGGCTCAGTGGTCTAAAGCACCTACTTAGAACAAGCTTAGCAAAGCACATGGACCGCGGTTCAATCCCGCAGCACCACATGCCAGCCAGCCCCCACCCCCTGGTGGGCTGAGCTGGCCACACAAACATAAATAAATAAATAAATAAATGAATAAATGTTTTTTTTAAATAAAAATGTGGGAGAGGTTTATAAGAGTCTAGGAAGGGTTTATAAAGCCTCAAAAATATATATAAATACTAAAGTAAATATAGAGTACTTGGATCCATCTGTAGACATTTGAGAAATGAAAGACCAGTGCATTAAAGGGCAGAAACCCCACTTGTGGTCTGTCAAGGGGTGATGTCTACATTTCAGGACCTGAATATTCTGTCTAATTTCAGATCTTTCAAAACATGTAGTATCCCTTTCCTCTGTCCCCATTCCTCCTGCCCCATCTCCCCTGAAGGCAAGTGAGCTGGATGCTCCATCCCCAATCTGACCTGCACTAGCAATGGTTCCATGTGATTGGGGAAAGGGGAAGAGGGCTGGTAATCCAGCTTTACAATAGCTGACTGTTGCACTGAACATTATCCAAACCTGGAAATATAATAATGTGGAGATGCATTCAAGGACAATATTCTTCTAGCATCTGATAAGATGTGGAGAAAACAATGTCTAGAAGATTTATACCTTGCATTCTTATGAATGTCCAAAGCTTCCTCATATCTGAACAACATTGTGACTTCTCCAACCAACACACAGGAAGCATATATCTTGGAGAAGGCCCTATAACTATGTCAGTGTGTGCACCAGCTGAGAAAAAAGGTTCCTATAATGACTCCCACCAGAACAGCAATGAATTTCAGACTACCTGGTGAAAGGATAATTGTCTGATGATGAAATGGAACAGAAAAGACACTATGACTTGCAGTAGGAAGGAATGGAATGCGATTAGGGAGAGAGATTAGAAATTGGCCATGACAATTTTTCTTCTTTTCCTGGATATTTAAATGTCCAGGCCCATTAACTTTAAAGTTATCTCTGGGCATAAATTGAGCCACTGACTTGAAGAGTCTTTAACATACCTATGCAAATAGCATAGATGTAGCAGTAGTTGGAAAGAATTGCAGTGTTCTTGACATTTTTGTCAATGGAGTCAAGAACAACAACAAAGTGTGGCTTTATAAAAATGACTGGGTTTGAATCCTAGGTCTGTCACTTTTTAATTTTTTCATATTAGTAAAATTACTCAACCTCTGGAGACTCAGTTGTTTTCAGATAAAATGAAAATACACCCAGGCATTATATGCACTTGTAACCTCAGCTACACCAGAGGCCAAGACAGGAGGTCACCTAAGCCCAGGAGTTTGAGGTCAGCCTAGGCAACACAGTGAGATCTGGTCTCAAAAAATAAAAATATGAGTTAAAAAGTGTGTGTGTGTGTGTGTGTGTGTGTGTGTGTGTGTATTATGCATGAATGCCTGATAAAACTTAAATGAGATAAGGAATATGAAGTCTGACACATGTTAATCAGTCAATATGGTTGTCCATCCCATATTGTCTATGAAATCTATTGCAGCTACAAAGACCCAACCCCAAACTACTTCACCACCACATTAGAGATACCCAACAGGACAAAAACTCCAGTCCCAAAGTAAACCAAAATCCCAAGATGAATGGCAAAAGTTTTTAAATTGATGTCCTGGAAGTACAAATGAACATTTTTCTTTATAGGCAGGTAAACAGCCTCAACATTTTTCTTTCATTTTGAGCCATGGAAGCCTACGAAGTCACTTTCAGACAGAGCTATGGAAACAGCTCCTCCTTAGCCTTCCCAACAGGGTACTAGGGCAGCTCAGGCCCTGTGACTTTCCTTTGGAAGGAATGATTTTTTGGGGAGCCCTTTTGGCCTGGGCTCCTTGTGGCCTTCAGGACAGCAGCTGAAAGTGAATTCAGCTCAGAGAAGTCTGTAGTTTGCTACTGTCTGCAGGGCTGTATCCCTTTTAGCCATTTTTTCCCAGAAAATGTGGAAGCAAAGAAACACTTCTTCACAAGACATAGTTGATATGGAAATGGACAAATAAAGTAAAATTTTGTTTCTTGTATTAAGACAACTGATTTATCAAGACAATTTAGGTCTTCACCCAAATTTGAAGAAACTGTATTGTCTCCGTGTCAAAAGGAGACCCTGGCTATTGCTTCATTGATCAAATACAGCCACTAACTTGGGCCTTGCCACACCAGTGTTGTGCAGCCTTTCAAGGAGTAGTTGTAGAACAGTATTTTTATAATTTTGATCCTTCTCAAATTTTCATTCCTAAATATTGAGTTTATATTATAATGCCAAACCCTGCAGTGCCCAGGGCTATGGAAGTTCTGAGTGGTACTGTTTTCCAGTTGGCTACATTACTCATCAAAGGAAATTAAATCCCAAAGTCATATGTCCTTGGGTTAATTTTAAGATATGCGGCATATGATTAAGTGGTTTTTTTTCCTTTATTTAAAATTCTGGGTGTGTTAGTCAGCTATAAGAAAATACCTGAGCTAAACAACTTATAAAGAGAGATTTATTTTGGTCAGAGATTTAGAAGCTTCAGCGTATGACTGATGGACCCAGTCACTTTGGCTGTGGTGAGGCAGTACCTCATGGTAGGACCATTTGGTAGAGAAAAACTGCTCAGCTCATCACCAGGCAAGAAGACAGGGAGAGAGAAGAGGACCAGGATCCCATAGTCCCTCCAAGGTCACATCCCCAATGATCTAAGACCTTGCATCAGGCCCCACCTCTTCAAGGCATGCCCCCCACTACTGCCATACTGGACACCAAATATTTAATCCGTGGACTTAAAGGGAGACATTTCAGATGTAAGCTGCTGCATCAGGGCTGGAATGGCTTTTCCAAGCTTTGGGAGGCCCTCAGATTGATTTGTGACTTTAAAGCAGGTGAAATTTGCTCAGACTGACAGAGGTAGCAAAGTTCCCAGCTTCTCACACTTCATGATCTCTGAGTTTATTCAGAGTTCTTTAAAAACCAACTGAGGCTGTTTTTTTTTTTTTTTTTGAGAAAATCTTTCTGAGACAAGTTTTCTTTTTATTGTACAGAATCACATTTCTGATGGTCGCTCTGAAAAGATCAGATACATTCAACATAATTGAAAGTGGTCTCTTTTTGTTTGTTTGTTTGTTTACCACTGTCATTCAATGGAGTAAATTTTAAAACACTGTTTAGATATAGTCCTCAATGCAGCAGTTTTCCATGTTTTGTTTTTCCAGATTTTAAGAAAAATAATATTTCTACTCTGTTCCAATAAGACTGCCTACTCTTAATCTAGTCATTCTGATCTTGAGTTAATAAACAACAACAACAAAATAAAATAACATTTGCTTTGAGTTACAATATGACAAACCCTGTTCTAATAACTCATATAGAGAAATTCATTCAAACCACAGCAACACTGTGAGTTAAACATTATTATTATCTCCCTTGGACAGATGAGGAAACTAGAGTATACAAATGTGAGTTGATGGTCCAAAGTCACATAGCTAGGGACAGAGCTGGAACTCAAGGCCAGCCTTCTTTCCATTCTTTGCTTACCAGGCCGGATACCCAGAGCTGTGGCCTCCATCAACCAGCACCTGCTGAGATCCGATGATGTGGTGAGCTGCTGTCTTGACCTCGGAGTACCTAGCATCTCTTTCCGCATCAATGGGCAACCTGTGCAAGGGATGTTCGAGAACTTCAACACTGATGGCCTCTTCTTCCCTGTGATGAGCTTTTCAGCAGGTGTCAAGTAAGTTTGAGCTATCATTTTCTGGAAAGTAGTCATGACCCACCCTCCTGTCACCCCTGTGAGGTGACAAGCCAGCAGTCTCCTCTAGGGCTTCAGTCCTAAAGCAGATCACCCAAGAAAGGGGCAGCACGAGGATAAAAGGCAACCAGACTTCATCCCATTATATACTTGTTTAACAGAGATCTTTTTCAAGGGTTAGGTTATGTACTCAAATCGTAAGATAGGTTCTGTGAGGATTAAAAATTATAAATCATCACATGCTTATCATAAAAATCTTAAAAGATAAAATTATAAATAATACTCAAAAGATCACCACTAATACCAGTGTTTAACTGTAATTTATTAATATTTTGGTGTATTTTTTCAACACTTTTTTCTACAGGACTTTTTAAATTGAAGTCTCATTGATTATGAAGTTTCATGTCATTTTTTCACTGAACAATAAGTAAGCATCCTGCTGTCTTATGGTCATGCAATAGCCCTTGCTTGGCTGTCCATAATATAGTCATTGCTTTGATGTTTTATTTTCATGACAATTTTATTTGTATTGTTTTAAATATAATTCCTATGAACTTCCTTGCCTACAACTATTTTTCCATATTTTTCTTTTATTGTCCTAGAAGATAAAAAAATTATGAACTTTTAAGTGTATAAAAATGTATAACTATGTGGTTAGATTGATGAACAGGGAAATCTGATGGACAATTCAGTTTCTTGTCAATAATTTCAAATTCTAAGAAAGTCCAAAAGTCATAAAAGTTTATAACTCATTTTGCAACAAATCTAATCTGAACTCATTTTGTGGAACAACCATTATCAAAAAATGAGATTCTTTTCAGTCTTTCATTTGTCCCACTCCTTTGGAATGCATCAATAATATTGATGTTTTTTTTAAATTAGACACTAACTCTCCTATTTGGAGGTTCTGCTTCATATAGACATTTGCTACCTATACCTTCTTCCTTTATTAAATTCTATGGAATTGTGAGGTCTATAACATTTCTCCAAAAATTCCAGCAAGTAGTATTATATAAAGCAACATAGAGGAAAGGCCCACTGAATATTCATGAACTCTAACTGTTAACAGTTATTTTTAATCATATTAATTTGAGGAAATTGTATCTTAGAATTTGAATTTTCTATTTCTTTAATTACCAATATAATAAAACATTTTAATGCTTATTTTTCTTAGGTAGCTTTTAAACCAATATTTTTGCTAATTTTGTATTCTTGGTCTTCTGATACTAATTTTGAATAATTTTTGTATAATTAAGGCTGTTACAATATGTTATATTGGTTTTAGATAGTCTGCTTTTGCTACTTACCTTCTTATGTTTAGGTTTTTTTCTCCTTTTCTCTTTCATAAAAGTAATATAAGTCAAAGAAAATACAAAGAACCCATAATAATATCACCAAAAGATAATCAACCACACTACCTTTTTTGTACATATTTAAATATTTCACATTGACTTTGGCTTACAGTATACATTCTGTTTTTCTGTGCGCATCACTGATTATTATGTTCATTGCTCTGCCCCTCTTTCCTTACGGCCTTTATTTTTCATTTTAATGATTGTGTGGCAAGACTCAAAAAATAATTCTTCCTCAAGAGTCTTCACCATTCTTTATGCCTGTATTTTAAAGAGATTATAACTGATGAAGCAGGAAACTGAATTCACTACAATTAGAATCATATTGGTACCCCTGGGAGCTACTGTACAGAGCTGTGGAGGAAGAGAGAGCTGTAGAGACAGGATTTTAAAGCTGGGAGCACAGAGAATCCATCTCAGAGCCCCAGGAGTCCAAGTAATGCAGCTGTCAGGGTAAAACCACTGCCAGAGGCCTTAGCACCTCAGTTGGATTAGTAAGTTAAGACATGTTTGTATATGGTCCAAAGTAAGATAAAACTTTGGTTGTCTTTCAATTAAACTATCTAGGAATCAAGAATTATCTTTTGGAACTTGATACATGAAATAGAAATTAACAACTTTAGATCTGGGTGCTTTTTGCTTACAATTGTCTTGCTAAAGAGCCATGCCAGGGGGCTTGATGTCACTCCAGCCTCCTGCCCAGGAAGCTATCAGCTGTGAAACATTTTGTCTGAGTCTCACAATATGAAATAATTCAAAGAGAGGCAGAACCACAGTCCACACGTAAATAGGAAACGTGTATGCCTGAAACACATCTAGTCTTTCATAAAATGTCCATAATCTCCACAATGCTAATCCTGTGCTAGAAAATAGCCAACTGATACATTTTTTCACTTATGAGCAAATGGAATTGATAAAATAATACTTTATCTTACATCCCCTGGTAAAGTAGAATTTGGCACTGAACCAGAAGTTCTCTGCACTACTTTAGTACAATTATACCAAAACCTAGAAAGAGAAAATAAGTTATTAATCCTAAATTAATTAAAATAATTACTGAACAAACTGCATTGATTAATAAAATATTTTAAAGTTTTATTGTTTCACTGAACACTGTAGAATACTTCCTGGGATTTATGGCACCTCTCCCGGTGAGGTGTAAGACGTTATGCCAAACTAAAGGGCGAGTCTTTTTTCCCCATTATAGAGGCATTTGGAATTGTTTCTCATATTCATTTTAAACTTCTAAATTAGATTTTTCGCACTTCCATTTCCTTCTGTTTAATGATCCTTAATGAGGTTGTAGTCTTGAACTTTTTAATAATTATTTTTATCATCACAAGTTGTGTTGTTAGTAATACCTGATTAGGTTATCCCTGCTGGCAATCATCAAAGAGCAGAGACATGAAGAGGAAAAATCATTTTCAATTAGATTTACCCACAGTAAAATCAAAGGCAGCACAAGCACTTACCAACAAAACCACAAATCAATCTGTGTTTTCTTTGCTAGCTATGATGGATATGCTGCTGTCTTGTACTTCCCTTCGTGGCCTGTCTCCGGGTAGCATCACGGTGCACTAGTGCAGAGGGCCCGAAACTAACAGCCCTATTCAATATAAAACAGATTTGGGGATGAGGCACATGGACCTTGGATCCTACTGAAAAAGTTCAGTTACGTAGATGCCAAGAATCTCTCATTAAAAGGTGATCTCAGGGGCCAGGGAGATGGCTCAGTAGAATGAGCACTTCCCTGGCAAGCACAAGGGCTTGAGTTCAATCCCCAGTTCCACCAAAAAAAAAAAAAATGATCTCACACAATGCCCTCTGCAATTGGAATTATGGCATGAATAAACCACACAACATCATTCCAAAGTTGTAGTATGTAACAGCACATGGAAGCACTTTTTGTTTTACAAAAAATGGATGAGTTATTTACTGTGGTAGAATATACTTTACAGTTTCTCATAGATGCACTTAATCATTTTACATAACTCCATTAGTGGGCCTTTCTAATTTATAAAAACAGCAGCATCCAAAATAATTTGGCACTTGTGGTTGTTGTTTGTTTTCCATTAGTTTCCACACCAAACTTGGCTAAAATTCAGGTAACCAGCAGCTTGGCTATTTCCAGCTTGCTGTGGTCAATGTGTGGAAATTATTGCTGAGATAAATATACTTCTTCAGAGAAGATAATGAGTACTAGCTGGATTGCTCTGCACTTTCATCAAATGCTAGCCAAGAAATAGCAGTGTGAGAATGTCCTCAACTTAGACTCTTCTCCAGGTTCAGTGATATGCAATAAGTCACAATAAATTCAGCTTAGCAGAAAGCTTGTTAACTCTTTGTCCTCTTAACCACAATTTGTATTCTTTTCTTCTTTGGAATGTTATTCCAGTCTTCTGGAAAGGATTTGATTGCAGATAAAAATAATGAAGCATCTAGTAAGATTAAAGTAACTCTGTGTTTGCTACTAACCCATGAATAACAATACTGAGAAGAGGAAAACTAGTCACCCATTTTGAACACAATAAATCGGTCTTAATTTTTACTGTATTTTTTAATTTGTGGGCCAGTCTTTCAAATGTGGATCTTTGTAGTAGTTATCCTCATCTATTCTTCAAATTAGCAAGTAAAGATACACAATACCAAAAGAACACTGAAGATGCTCAGAGTTTTTTCAATGTAGCTTGCCCTATGTTTTCAAAATTAGTCATGCAAATAAAACTGTCTTCTATATCTCTGCATTTCTCTGATTCTCTGAAGAAAAATGTTGAAGTAATGGCTCATTTCCAAGGTAATCTGAGGACACCACTGCTTACTATAAACACCTTCAGAAGAAAAACTTACCTTCCTAAAATGGAACTTCTGAATTGTAGACCCAAGAGAATGACATAGTGCCTTAGTGGAAGAGATTAAATTAATTAATGAAATGTTGAATCCATCAATTCAGGGGGAAAGTTTGAGAATAAAGAACACTAGTTCTATCCCAGGTGCAGAAGTGCACACTTGAAACCCCAGCCCTCAGAAGACTGAGGCAGGAGAGCTGAGAGCTAGACACTAGCCTAGACCACAGAATGAGAAAAGCTCTCAAAAACAAGCACCAACTAATTCTAGACTCAATTCTTAAATTCTGTTTTGTATTTGGAAGAAGCTGGAAGATTCTATAGAATTTAAACAGCAGGAAAGAAAATATACAAAGGAAAGAACCTTGCATTCCAATTGCACAGTCTCATTTGTGAATGGAGCAAAAGGTTAATAAAATAAGTATTAAGTCCCAGACACAGTATTTACTGGGAGAAGTAGAAAGGTAGGTATGGCTATCTTTTCTCCTTCTGATACTGACCAGATGCACCTGACCCAGACTGGGATGTGTTTTGACCAACAGTGGTCAAACTCCCTACCTCTCATTTCCCTCCCCTCCAATCCCCAGAGAATACACTGGGGCAATTTGCCACTGTGTCCCCACCACCCCTCAGGCTGCTTCACAGCCAATCTCTAGGCCACTTTGATAGGAGTTGTAACCTGTTGTCAGCTATTGTGGCCCTTGCCTCTTCCTTCCACACCTCCTCTCCAAGCTCCTGCCACCACTCTGAAGGGAAATGCCCACCTAAACATGGGTTGGATCTCGGC